ATTTGCAGTTAGTTTTATATCACCTAATTTATTGTAGTAGGCCATCTTAGTCTATACGTAGATTATTTAAATGAATTTGATAGGACAAGTTGCCTTAAATCTTTCTGGAATAAGTAAAAGGGTCCGCATAAAGAAACAAATGAGGAGCATCAACACTTTACATAATCAAATTTTTGAAATCGAAGTACATTGCTAAAGAATATGGATATAGTAGTTTTAACTTTTTATATTTAGTTTCTGAAAATAAGCCTCGAGTGTGTCTTGTATAGAGCACCAAAGGGAACTGTGAAAGGATTTCGATCTAAAATGGAACCAGAAGGTATGAGGAGAATCTCATGCATGTATCCTCTAGAACAGGGGTTGGCAAACTGTAGAGACGGAAGAGCCAGTCCTTTTCCTCACAACAATTTAAAAATTATTTGAGACCCATAAATATATTTTTACATAATTACCATTATGTGAATAATATCCTTTAAAAATTTTTATAAATGAAACTATGATAGTTTTATTTTCATTTTCATTTTTACTTCAGAGCCACATGTACTTACCCAAAGAGCTGCATGTGGCTCGTGAGCCGCAGTTTGCCGACCCCTGCTCTAGAATAATGAACTTAAGAACTGAGAGACTGATTTCCTGTAATGCCTGATTTACAGAAGACTGAGACCTATCTCCTGACCAGTGAACATCCGCCAAGAATCCCTCCCTATCCTCAAGCCAGTGAACCTTACTGCTTGGATTCTGGCAGGACTCCCTCTCTTTGCACTCTCTGCCCATCAATACAGCTCCCCACCTCCAGTCCCTCAACGGACTCGCCTATAGCTTTCTACAGCATGCAATTCCTCTGACATTGCCAAATTCAGTTTCTGGTAATTCGAGGTTTCCTCAGTTTGCCCCTTTATTTAGGTTAACAGAACTCAACTACCCAAACCTCTTAGACATATAGAAAGAGACCCAGATAATATTGTAATTGAGACCCAGAGAAATGAAAATTTATGAGAGATCAGTGAAGCCAGTTAATGGCTGAGGCTGGCCTGGAAATGGTTCCTGTAGCCCTAGTCTTTTCTCATAATCTTTTATTCACTTGTGCTGTATATTATGCTACAAGCAATAACTGATTGTCATTATTGTATCTTTATTCAGTCAGTATTTGACATTGATGTACCCAGAGAGTTACTGTTTTCCTTACTGCATTTTTTTCTGTAGTTTTGACCTTCCATGTAAGAGAATGTCCATCTGAGAGAGATCCTTTAGGGTTGCCTTTAGTGCAAGTTTGCTGGTGGCATTAGCTTCTGTTTTTATTTGCCTGAAATGCCTTTATTTCCTTATTATTGATGGAATTTTTTTCTGGGTATAGAATTCTAAGTTAGTAATTATTTTCTTTCAGCACTGTTGTCTTCTAGCTCTGTTGTTTCCATTGAAGAAACAGCTGTTTAATTTCTGCTCCTTGGAGTATTTTGAAGGGAATCTCCCTGTTCTTCCCATTCATGGCAGCTTTTAAGATTTTTTTCTGTCTTTATTTTTCCATACTTTTACTATTATATATCTAGATAAAGATTGCTTTCTATTTGTTCCTGCTAGGAACTCATTGGGCTTTATGGATTTGTGGCTTGATGTCTTTAATCAGTTTTAGAATGTTTTAGTCATAATTTCTTCAAATATAATTTCTGCTTTTCTCTCTCCACCCCCACCCCCAAATTTACTTGTTAGACCTTCTCCTCTGTATCTCTTTCCCGCCCATGTTCTCCGCCCTTTGTGCCACTGCTTTATTTGGATATTTTTTTATGACTTGTTTTCAGCTGTTCTTTATTTGCTCTTATCTGTTAACTTGCTGTTACCTATTGCTAGTATTGTATCTTTCAATTCTAGAGTTAGCATTTAGTTACTTTGCATATTTTCTAGTTCTTTACCAATATTCCAATAGTTGTCTTTTATCTCCTTGAACATAGAAAGCATAGTTATTTTAAAGCCTATGTTAATTATAGTATGTGGAGTCTCTGTAGGTCTGTTTATTTTGTTGTTTCTGTTGGTTCTCACTCATGTGATCTTGTTTCTTTGTGTGCCTGGTTATTTTTCTTTGTGTGCCAGACATTCTGATTGCAAAATTGTTTGTAGAAGGATGTGAAGTTCAGGACGTTGTCGTCATTCTGCACTGAGGACTTACATTTGTGCCACCAGATGCTCCGGGCACTAGCCATCTAAGATTACCTTAATTTGCTTTCAGAGATTGAAATAGTCTAAGGCAAAATACATGTTCTGCAAAGTTTGGTCTTCCTACTTTCAACTTACTCTTGTGACTAGGGTCCTCATCCCAGATTTATATTTTTGGAAAACGCTTGAACTCCAACTTCTGTTACTTTAGCACTGTGCTGCTTTTTTTTTTTTTAAGCTGAGCCATCCTGCCACCTGTTGGCAGCTCAGCTCGGGCCGTGAATCAAACCAGGGACCCTGTTGCTCAGAGCTCAAACTCTTGAGTGAGCTCTTCACCAACTGAGCCACTCAGCCGGCCCTTGCACTGTGCTTCTTAGAAACATTGCCCAGCCTCTCAGCCAGTCTTCTAGAATTTCCAAATGCCCTCAGAGGGGAAGCTGTCCCAGTTTGGGAAGGAGAGGTAAGATGAGGTTGCTGGTGTCCTTTGTCATCTTCTAAATCTTGGCCCAGTAATTTTTCATTATTTACTAAGGCCTTCTTTGTCTTGAGGCAGTTTTTTAAAAACAATGTTTTGTGTACCTTTCCTCTTCCTCAACAGGAAGTTGGTCCAGATTATCTAGTTTACTATTTGTTATGGGATTTTCTCAAAAGTAGAATTTGAATGCGTAAAATGAAGGATGTTTCTTGTTTCCTTTTCCCCTTTTTGGTCTTATTTGAATCCTGGACCAATGGGAGTCTGCTATACATGGGTCAAATTAGAGGAAATGACAAATTATTATTTTCAGTCCTTCATTTCTTTTACTTTTCAAAGCTTTAAACATTTGTCTGGGATAGCTTTATTACTTTGGAATGGGGAAAGAACTTTTAAAATCTGTTCTTGCTTTGTTTTTTTTAACAGCTTTGTTTAATACTTGCCTACCTTCATTAAGCCATTGATAAGGATTTTCATACTGACCTTTCGCAATAGATACCTAGTAGATCTTAAGTAAATGAGGCTCTTAAATGATTGGGCAAATGAATTAAAACTTTAAAAACATATTTTATTTTTTAAATTTACCTCATTTAGCAGATTAATTGTTGAATATATTTTTTGTGAGTATGCAGCCTTAACCTGTAATAGCCAGAACTCCCAAACTCTTCACTTGTTAGAGCAGATGTATGGATTCAGTTTATATGAAGTCAAGAACTATGCTAACACATTTCCCTGACTCCTTTAAGGTAAGGGAGAAGTCTTGAGGAGCTGGACAAAGCCTCTTTTGAAAACAATATTTAGCAGAGCAAATATGGCAGTTCTGGGACTCGTGATGAACATTGGGTAGCCATGCCCCTACCTTTGTCAAACTTCAGAAAACAAAACTCTTCTCTCCCTCAGTACCCATAACATAGTAATCACTTTGCCTCCTGTTCTCAGAACTCATGCCCCTTGTCTCTCTGTTGGATTTAACTCTTTAAGCATATCTCTGCATTATCTTTTAGACAACTTTTAAGAGTAGACAGAAAAATTCATAATCAATATACCGTATTTCCCCATGTATAAGATGCACCCTTTTTCGAAACATTTGGGATCTAAAAACTGGGTGTGTCTTATACAGTGGTTGTATATTTTTTTAGTTGCATTTTCCGCTTTTTTCGCACTTTTTTTTGCGCTCATACAACCACTGTATAAGACTCACCCAGTTTTTAGACCCCAAATTTTTTTGAAAAAGGGTGCATCTTATACATGGAAAAATACAGTAAATGTTAGCAAGGAGAAACTATAAACCCCAATATACCAATAATAGAAATATTTGAAAGACAGTATCTGCTGATGTGTGTGGATAAAGTGTCATGTTTTAAGGTATTCAATAACAAATTTTTATAAACTATATTAAAGTTAATTTGACTAGAATAATGTATAAGGCTTCTCCAGTGATACATGGTAACCATTTGATATTAACCTGTATATAGATACTAGGAGAAAAATGTCTAAATGGAGACCATGAAGGACAATATAGTCATGTCTCATGATGTAGCTATTTGCGTTAGGCTTTGACTTACGAATTACGTTATAACTTGCTAGCCACTAAGGCAGCTGACACCTAAGATGAGCTGTCATTGGTCATTTTGGTGGTTTTATAACACAGTTGGTCAAGTATTGCCTTAAAGAAAATGCCAGAGGGCTGGCCGAGTGGCTCAGTTGGTTAAGAGCTCGCTCAAGAGTGCCAGCTCTCAGCAACAGTGGTTTGATGCCCGGCCCGAGCTGAGCTGCTGCTGAGCTGCTGACAGGTGGCAGGATGGCTCGGCTTAAAAAAAAAAAAAAAGCCAGAATTACTAGTTTATTATCAGTGATAATCTTTTGCATCATGTCCCTTTAGATGCATTGTTTTAAGTGACTTCTTCTAGGGGTTTTTGTGTAGTCAATGAATTACACTATGAGTGACTCTTAAGTGTCCAGTATGTAATAGCAAAGACAGAGTTTTAAGAGCCATATTATAGGTCAGTTCATGAAGGAATATGTTTTCTTAGGTTCTGTTAACACTAATTGTTTACAAGGAAGTGCAACTATGTTAGTCTGATTTGGTGATGTTTTATGTAAGTGGGTGTTAGGATTGGTGCTCAGGAATCCATAAAAGTTTTTCCTGTTAAAATTTAAATTTAAAGTAGTTATAATTTAAACCTGATACTTATCTGTAGGAAGGTGTTTTTAGGAATAAATTTCACTTGTGAATCAGGAGAATGATATGCTTTAGAAAAAGTTTTCTCAGTATTATTCTTTTATGAATTGAACATTTGAATTTATATTAATCTCTCATTTTTCTTGATTGACACATTATGTTATAAAATTGACTTTTTTTTTTTTTCTCCTAATACAGAAGCTCCACCATGAGACGAGGTGGATGGAGGAGGCGAGCTGAAAATGATGGCTGGGAAAAATGGGTGTGTTTTAAAAGAATAAAAATAATTATGTTCTGAGACAGAGAAATAAACTTTGAAAATAAGATTTCAAAATGTTAACAATGAATGGGAAAATTTAAATTTTCTTCTGTATATCTTCTGGGGAAAAAAACGTTTTTGACAAGGAGCGTGTAATATTTGAATAATCAATAACAATGAAGTCATTTCCATTTTGAAAAAAAATATGTACCACTTCTGCCCACCTACAACTTTATTTTAAAGAGTTAATTGATAATTCTTTATTGATAAAGATAAATCAATAAAGACTTAATTGATAATTGAAATTGATTAAGCTTATTTTAGTGTTCAGGAAAAGTGTAGCTGAATTCATAGATTTGTAAAGGTCTGTAGGAAAAATAAGTGTTTTTATATTCTTTTTTGAGGTTCATGTTATCTAAGGAAAATTAGTATTACTATCAAATAGATTAGTTAAGAATTTAGCCATTGAATGAATGGTTTATTGTATTCTTATCTACATATATGGAGGACCGTACTGGTTTGTCAAACTGCTTTATTTTGCTTGAAGTTATTAATTTTAAGCTTTCTGTATCCAGAAGATAGTGGAAGCCAGTGTGAAATGTACTCTTATTTGACCACTTGTCACATTTTAATTGGTTTAAACTTTGGTGTAACTTTTGCTTGTTTTATAGATAAGAGTAATATTTTGTAGCATTAAACTTATTATTCTTGACTTACCTTTTCCCTCTTTTTAAAGCAACCCTTATTATTATAAGACTGTGATAAAATTATTAAAAATTGAGTCAACCGAGAGAAAAGTCTCCCTAGACTTGCCTGTTTTATTGCCTTCCCTATGTTTCATGTTTAAAATTATAACTTATGTCATCATTATACCTTGGTCACTAGTACAGAATAAGGTCCTTCTTTCTATCCATTTATTTATAAATAGAAGTTTCTTTAAAGGGGGAGAGAAAGTACAACTTTTGTGATTAGTTTGCCTTTTCTTTAATTCTAGGGTGGGTATATGGCTGCCAAAGTCCAGAAATTGGAGGAACAGTTTCGATCAGATGCTGCTTTGCAAAAGGATGGAACTTCATCTACGATTTTTAGTGGAGTTGCCATCTATGTTAATGGATATACAGGTTGAGTACTTTTTACTTTTTAGGTACCCTATTTTGGCATGCACTTTTATTAGGATTGAGAGTGATTTGTTTTAAATTCTGTTTTTAATTATCTTGTACATAAAAATGATAAAAATCCTTCACTTTTCTTCATTCCCATCTGTGTCTGCCATTGTCTATTATTTTAATTTTTATCAAAGTACCTAGTTTTAAAAAGTCAAACGAGGTTTAAAATGAAAAACAGTAGTGGTCTTGCTTAAACAGCTGATAAGCTTATCACAGGTGGGGTTTGTAAACTGTGAGCTTCCATATAGGGTATCTGGTAAGGCCACCCCATTGGTGAATCTCCCACTGTAATTAGCCATAGGTCCTTTGGGCCGCTGGAGGAAGGGGGCAGTGTATGTGTCAGATTTTCCAGAATCTTGCTTAGAGACGGATATAAACCTAGCTGCCTGCACTTTGGTTGCCAAGGGGTAAGGAAAGGGCCAGAATTCTCAGTCTAGAAAGTAGAATTTCATTTAATCTCCCTATTTTTCTTTTCATCCCCTGTATCGCTTCTCCCCTCCTGCTATGCCTGTTGTCATTGAGTCCAGTACCTGCAGGAGACAGGACAGTCTTTCTTCTTTGTGAGTGGGAGAGGACGTCTGCAATTCTAATCTGTCTCTTACACAAAATTTCAACGTGAACTTCTTGTTTTACAACCTTCCCACATGCCCACTTTTGGAGGTGCCCGGTGACTATTTCCTAGGTTTCTCTTGGTTTCACTGGCACCCAGCAGCCTCATCTGGGCTTCTACATAGCCAGCTTAGATCTTTCTCTGATCTGCAAAGTCAATTACCACTTGTGTATTGGCTGTCAGACTTTACTGCCAGAGTTTCTCTTCATTCTCATTAGGATTTCTCTCCTCTTAAGATCATTTTAGTGTATTTTTGAAGTGAATGACTGCAGATATTTGTGTCAATCTGTTATATTTTTTCCTCTCCACTTCTCAACTGGCTGATACCTGTTTATTTTTAAGGTCTCTGTTTATACATCGCTTCTCCTTGATTGTCTGGTTGCCTTTCTACTGGTGTAGCTGACATCTCATGCTCCTGTGAGGCTGTGACTCCTTGTATTTATCCTCATCTTAGTATTATAGATCTTATTATAGTTGCCTGTTATTAGATGAGAGCAAGAGTGACTGGGTGTAACCACTCGGAAATACTTGTTGAATTAAAGTTAAGTTTTAATTAACTGATACATTGGCCTGGTTAAGTTTTATCAGGCATCATGGACAATGAATTTAGCCTAAGAATGTTATCTCAAATGAACTGCAGGTACAGCTTTGGAACAGTTCACATGGGACTTTTCTACTTAGGTAACCTAGAACATTCAAGCTCCACACTTACCTGAGATGCATTATAAAAGATTTTAAATGTTAACAAAAAGAAATAAACATTGCTTGTTACATTAGCCAATTATGGCAGTCCCCAATTCACAGGGCACCCTTATAAGAGGAAGAAAAAGAGATTCTTTGTGTGAGGGAGAAAAAAATGACTGTTGTAGTAATCACTACCGTGGCTGAGAATCTGGAAATCTAATTCTACTTTTGTCACTAAGTTTTGTGTGACTATAACATTTTCTCTTTGAACCCATTTTGTTTAGGCCCATTATTATCCCTATCCCTTTCTTTAGGATAAGGATAATAATATTAATTTTTACTCCTGTTATTGTTAGGATTATATTACAATTCTACAGGTAAAGTTCCATTATGTAGAATTGCATAGGGACGTGCAAATTGTGGTGACAGAATGTTTTTAGAAAAATTTTCTGTTTTAGGTCAGACACCTTTATAAATAAAACAGAATCAACAACCTCTGTGTAATGAATTAGCAAGTGAAGAAAAAGTACTTTACATGCTGTAAGACAAGTAGTGAAAGTTGTTTTATTGTTAATTCTTAACCATGCTCCCCACAGACTAATATTCCAAGTTTTCTTACTATTTTAAAGTTCCCAATTCTGCCATCAGAGCTTCTTTGATAACCCTCACCTCTTCTAACCCAGTTAGCATTGAGCTTGAGCTTAGAGATAAGATTCCCCTGCCTTTTGGATACTCTGTCTCTGTCAACTCATTCTCTCTTCTCTTTTTTCCTCCCAAAAGCATCTTTTCCCTGTTCAGGTTAACTCACTTGTCTTCCATTCATTTTTTTTTTTTTAATAAAACATTTTTTGAGATAATTGTAGAATCCCATGTAGTTATAAGAAATAATACAGAGAGCTCATGAACCCTTTGCCCCAGTTTCTCCCAATGGTAACATCTTATAAACCATAGAATAATATCAACCAGGAAATTGATATTGATACAGTCAAAATACAGAATTTCACACCGCAAGGAGCCTTCATGCTGCCCTTTTATAGCCACACCTACTTCCCTTCTGTTCTCAGCCCCCTTACCCCTGGCAACTACTAATCTGGGCTTCATTTCTGTACTTTTTTTATTTCAAGATGACCTTTGAAATTGGCTTTTCTTACTCAGCAGAATAATCTGGAGAGTCATTTAAGTTGTTGTATGTATCAGTAGTTTTTTCCTTTTTATTGCTGAGTTGTATTCCATGGTATGGATGTTCCACAGTTTGTTAATCATTCACCCACTGAAGAGCATCTGGGTTATTTCCTGGTTTTGGCTATGAACATTTGTGTACATAAGAGTGCAACTGTGGGCCTGCCGAGTGGTGCGTTGGTTAAGAGCTGGCTTGCAACGCCAGAGGGCCCCAGTTCGGATCCCACATATGAGGGCCAGTGACACTGCCCTCTACAGCTAAGATGCTGAACAACAGCTCAACCTGGAGCTGGGCTGCTGTGAGTCGCCGGCGACGGCATAGGCTGCAGCCCCTGTGGCAGTGGGTTGCCATGGGCTACCGTGTATAGCCAGCAACCACTGTGAGCGGCCAGCAGCCGCCTTGAGCAGCCGTCCAGAAGCCGACGACTGATCTGCCTCACCCGGGAAGAGCGTAATGATGGTGCCAACTTGGGCCAGTGAAGTGATGTCCTCCACAACTAGACTGAAGAACAAAAGGACAGCAACTTGTCTGTTCCCCTCCCCCCAATTCCCCAATAAAAATCTTAAAAAAAAAAAAAAGAATGCAACTGCTGGGTCATATGGTGGTTACATGTTTAACTTTTTTAAGAAACTGCCAAACTTTCTCAAGTGGCTGTACTATTTTATATTCCCACTAGCAAGTTTTGCATGATCCAGGTTCTTTTGCATCCTTGCTGGTATTTAGTGTATTTTATTTTAAATATTTTAGTAGGTGTGTAGTGATACTGTAGCTTTATTTTATATAACAATCGCTACACATCCTCACCTGCATTTTTGTTTTGTGTTTTAATTAATTTAGGTAATCTAACAGATGTGTAGCGGTATCTCACTGTAGCTTTGACTTACATTTGCCTCATGGCTAATGATGTTGAACATCCTTTCATGTGTTTATTTGTCCTCTGTGTGTCCTCTTCAGTGAAATGTCTGTACATGTTTTTTGCCCATTTTCTAATTGGATTGTTTGGTTTTTTTACTGTTGAGTTTTGACAGTTCTTTATGTATTCTAGATAGTACTCCCTTTGTCAAATGAGCAGTTTGCATATGTTTTCTCCCAGTCTGTAGTTTGTTTTTCAACCTTTTCACACCGTCTTTGCAGAGCAAAAATAATTAATTTTGATGAGGTACAGTTTATCAGTCTTTCCTTTTATAGCTTGTGCTTTTAAGTCAAAAGTCTGCTTAGCATTAAGTCCCAAAGATTTTCTTTTCCTAAAAATTTTATAGCTTCATGTTTTACATTTATGTTCGTGATCTATTTACGATTTTTTTTGTGTGTGGCCTATGGATATCCAGTTGCTGCTGTAGTGCCATCTGTTGAAAAAGCTGTCCTTCCTCCATTTGATTACTTTTGCACTTTTGTCAAAAATCAGTTGGGCATGATTGGGTGGGTCTGTTTCTGGGTTTTCTGTTCTATTCCATCAATGCATGTCTGTCTCTTCACCACATGATCTTGACTACTGTGTCTACATAGTAAGCCTTGATATTGGGGAGAGTGATTATTTCCATTTTATTCTTCTTTGTCAAGATTGTTTTAGCTATTCTGGGACCTGTGCCTTTCCATATAAATTTTAGAATAAGCTTGTCTGTGTCTACAAATAAATACCTTGCTGGGATTTTGATAGGAATTACATTAACCTGTAGATCAATTTAGGGAGAATTAACATCTTTACTATGTGGCGTTTTCCTATCTATGGACCTTCCATTCTATTTTACTCTATCTAGTTGATTGAATAAATATATTTTGTATGCTGCTTGTGTGTTAGGAATTGTGTTTGAACAGAGATGGCAGTTAATGGAGAATGTTGATTTTTGTGACAAATAAGTAACCTCTGGGAGTTAGACATGACCAGAGGAAAGTGGAGGACAACACAGAACAGTAATTGCCTTCAAGAGTTATAGTGTATCCTTCATAGAGGAATTGACTTTTTTAGCTGGGTCTTGGATAAATAGGTGTTTTCTAGCTGAAAATGGGTAAAGACGTTCTTATCCTAATTCTAATCTACATTTTCACATTTACATTCTTTAATTTGATCAATAGCCTTATCTGATATTTTAGGCTTGTCTTTGTACTTTTTCAATTCTGTTTGTGCCTCTAATGAAAAGCTCCTTCCATCATTTCTGTGAACTGGAATTATATTCATCCATTAAGACCCAGATTATATTAGATTTTGCCTCCTTCCCTCTCTAAGCCATTCCATAGTTTTAGAATTTTCATAGCATTATTGCTAGAAACATTTTATTTTGACTCCCGAGTTTTTTCTTGTATTGTCAAGTTTTTTGGAATCAGAAAGCCCATTTTATTTAGTAGCCCCTAGCCAAACATGGGTCAGAGCTATTGGCCGTAGGACCTTCAATTTTCTGTTCCTTCTGCCTTCTTTAGGTCTTCGTCATCCAGATCTCTGCTCATATGTTGCCTCCTCCAAAAGACTCTCCCTGACCCTCTTAT